TAAATACCTGATGTTGATTTTTGATACTTTTTCTTTCATTTGTGAACATTTCATATTTTTTTACTATTTATTATTTTAATTCTTAAAATTATAAAAATTGTGTACAAAAAAACAAATGTTAAAATTTTAAAATAAATTTAAAAAAAATTATCACACAAAAATGTTTTAAAAAAAAATTGATAAAAACTTGAGAAGAAATAGTATTTTTCTTAGCTAGGGCAGGAAAATAAGAAATGTCTCAGATTACATGTATTTGTCGACCTCGGCTTCGCCTCGGTCAACAAATACATGTAATCTGAGACATTTCTTATTTCCTGCCCGTGGTGAGAATACTATTTTTCTCCTCGACGGAGGCGGAAAGTGGCATTTTCGTTTAGCGCAGCGAGCAGAAAATTGACGCTTTCCGCACGGAGGGGAGAAAAGAAAATTTACAAGAAATCTTGTTCATTTATTAAATCTCAGTTCAGATTATATTAAAATACATATTCATATATATTTATAAATCTTTTGTGCATTCATTCCATTCATACAAATTCGAAAATAATTTTTTTTTTTGATACAATATTTCAAATAAACTATAACTTCGATCGAATGCTCCACTTAACAATAATGATTAACGTTAATAATTAAAATTATAACGGGAAATTCATGTCATAGTATAGCAGTTGATATTCTTAATATAAAAATTGATAGACATGACTCTAATTGCACTAAAAATCAATGGCATTAATATGACGATAATAATAATTAATAATAATAATACATGGATAAGTAGATAATAAATTAAAATTCATCATGTCGCGCGAGAGCTTCACCGAAGTCGGTAGCCTGAGAGCCGACGAAGATGTCGTATTTGGCGAGGATTTCTTCTTTGGTGAGTTTGTCATCGCTATCGCTATCGGCTTCGTAGATCAAATGCCGGGCTTCGGCGTCTGCATGGTCGAAATCTTCAGGAATTATCCAACTCTTAACCTCTTCGTTGTCCATGAATCCGTCTTGGTTTTTGTCGCGGTACGTAGCGAACTGCTGGCGTTCATTTTTCACCCATTCTGGCTCCTCTTCTTCGGTGTCATCTGGTCTGTAAAGATCACCTGTAAATACACGTTTTTTTTTTAATATACTAGGAATTCAAATTGCGCGCATACGCGCGCGCTTTAATCCTAACCAATAAGGAATCAGTAACCATTCTTCCGAGATTTTCGATACTAAACTAACTTCAGTTCAATCATCAATTTTATATTATAGGGTTTAATTTTTCTCATGAAAGTATCTGATTATTACGGGTAGAAAAAGAACAAATTTAAAGAGAAAAATAATAAAACTAAGAATGTTTTCTTAAACCAGAGCAAAAGTTTCAATTTTTTTGACCTCAAAACCAATTCTATGGCCCGAGAATAAACTTTGTTGGGGCAATTAGTGTGTTTTTTAGCTCAATGAATATCTTCCGCGACTAAAGATTGTTAGTTGATAGATTCCAGAAAAAAATTTCACAACTTGAAACAAAAAATAAATCGTACAAATAGAATTAATTGTTTGAACTTTGAATAAAGCATTGTTGGGGATTATCATGTTTTTCTCGGCTCTAAAACATGATGTTCTCAACCCGAGAAATCTTTTGCCGTTGAAGACTATTGTCTCGTTAAATTGAGAAAAACGTTTGATGAGGTAAAAAAATAAATTTTTCGAGCTGTTTACTGATTAATTTAAAAATAACTTCGAATTGTCCGCGATATAACATTAGCTCAGATTTTTCTAATTATAAGTCTACAGTTCTAGTAGGGTAGTAGGGTTCCTTTCTACTTTCATCAACAAGAAGAGGTACGCGGGTTTGTACTGGACCAAGGTGGAAAAGTACGACAAGATGGACTGCAAGGGCTTAGAAACCGTCCGGCGAGACAACTGTCCTCTGGTAGCGAATATGATGAACACGTGTCTTAAGATTTTGCTAATTGAGAGGAACCCGGAGGAAGCGCTAGACTACGCGAAGCAGGTGATCAGCGACCTGCTGTGCAACAAAATAGATATTTCGCAGTTGGTAGTCACTAAGGAATTGACCAAGACTGATTACACTGCGAGGCAGGCTCACGTAGAGCTAGCTGCTAGGATGAAGAAGAGAGACGCGGGTACGGCGCCAAAGTTGGGTGATAGAGTGCCTTATGTTTTCACGAGTGCTGCTAAGGGTACCCCAGCCTACATGAGAGCAGAGGACCCTATTTATGTTCTAGAGAATAACATTCCATTAGATGTTAATTATTACTTGGAGAACCAACTGTCGAAGCCCTTGGTCAGGATTTTTGAGCCGATTTTGGGAGACAAGGCTGAGAGTTTGTTACTCAAGGGTGAGCATACCAGGACTAGGTATGTAGTCACCTCAAAGGTTGGAGCACTGGCGGCTTTTACCAAGAAGAAGGCCGCGTGTATTGGCTGCAAGAGTGTTCTCCCCGCGGATAGAGAGAAGATGGCGGTTTGTAAGTACTGTGAGGCCAAGGAGGCCGACTTGTATCAGACTGAGTTGCTTGCGGGTAGAAAACTAGAGGAGAAGTTCTGCAGGCTGTGGACTGAGTGCCAGAGGTGCCAGGGTAGTCTTCATCAGGAAGTTTTGTGTACCAGGTGAGTTATACGAGAATTTTATGATTTTTTTTTTTTAATATTTTATGTTCGATAGAGTTTATTTGTAATAAATAATAGTTCAAAAATATGCTTTAAGGTAGTTGTCATGGTACAATATAGTCAAAAAAATTAGAGATTATACGCGCCGCAGAAGTATATGAGCTTGGAGCTAAGTAATCCATAATTTTTACGTAAGAATGTACCCGTGGAGACGTAACCCATACAGTATTTCTGTCCGACTCCGTAAATATGTACTTTTTCATAAATTGTTCAACTTTAATCCGTTATTTATTAATAATTAGACGGTCAAAAATTTGTTTTTATTTTTTTTAAACTTATAACAAATACATTAAAAAACTGTCAGTTTTTTTTTAAAGTTTTTGACTGTTAGTTTTTTTTTATAACTAAGAAACTGGTACAAAGCTGCAGAGAGCGTATGCAATCAATGTTAAATATCCAATTTTTAATTGAATTCATCTTGGGTTATAGGTGGTCAATCGACTTCGAATTTTAAGGGTAATTGTATCATCATGTCCTTAATAAGTATACAAAAATTTAGAATTTTCTGACGATATGCCTTAATCACGACAACTACCTTAATAGAAAATCTACCTAAAAGGTAGAAAATAATTTTCAACAAATTTAAATTAAAATTAAAATAAGTAACGAAAAAATTTATTTTATTGTAAAAAAGCGTAGAATGCTAGATATCAAGTGTTATAAATATTTTATTGGCAAATATTCGTAAATGTCGAGTCATCATTAAAATATCTTGAAAAGCTAGTAGTCAATTTTTTATGTTAAATTTTTGGAGGAGTGTAGAATAATTTGTTAGTTCTATAAATTTTTTCCGTCACATTTGACCATTAAATTATTTGTAATTGATCCTATCATAGAGCTATTATTTTTCAAATTTATTTCAAAAGTACCCAAACTATGTATAATCTGATAAATATCAAAAAATCATTAAGCCAAAATTTTCTTATTCATAATTTGTATAAATCTCGACAGTCACATACACAGAAAAAAAAATTTCTTGACTGGAGAACAAAATTCTTGGCTCAAGAAAATCTTCGGGTGCCTGAAGGAAAACCGAAGTTGTGTTGGCCGAAGTAAAAATTTTTCTTTAAATTCTTATCTTGGTGGAAATAATTTTTTCTTAATTCAAATTATCATAAATACTTGATACAAAAAATTTTTATATTTGATCAAGATTTTTAGATACTTTAGAGAAGCAGCGCCACTTACTTCAGCTGAGAAAAAAATTTTCTCACCTTGAGAAAATTTTTGTCTTAAAAATTTGATACCCATTTAATATTATTTTGGCGTGCAATTATATATATTTAATGAAAAAAAATTATTCAATATTATTTGATCCTCCCATTTGACATGTTAATCAATAAAAATATTATTGAAAATTTACATCTATCGAGATATTTAATTTTTTGGAGCAAAAGAGAAATTTTCTCAAGAGAAGAAAATTTACTTCTATCAAGAACTAAATTTTTTGGAGCAAGAAACTGAATTTTCTCAAAGCAAGATTTTCTTGACTTAAATGAATTTTTTTGGATCAAGATACGTATTTCTTAAAGCAAGAGAATAATTTTGTTGGAATAAGTGAAATTTCTTGTGTCAAAAAAAATTTTTTTTTTTCGCTCAAGACAATAATTAAGAAGAAAAATATTTTCTTGGCTCAAGTGAACCTTTTTTTCTGTGTAGTGACTACAGGTTGCTAGTAACAAACAATTAATATTAATTGAACAGTTATTTGCTAGACCAATCGGTCAACTACTGATGCATTTACTCTACTTTTCTATATTTGTTTTTAATAAATTTTTTTTATTTCAGTCGTGATTGTCCAATTTTCTACATGAGAAAAAAAGTACAAATGGATTTAGACAATCAAATAAAGCGAATTGAAAGATTCGGCGTACCTGATTGGTAAAAGGATATTCACCAGTGATTCAATGATCAAGATTCAAGAATTAGTCCATCAATTTTGTCTTTAATAATAATTAGCAAAATTTGAATTACAAAAAACCTCTTGGTCCACCTTGGGTCGACATTTGTTGTATTAAATTATTTTTAATAATAAAAAACTAATTACATTTTTATAAAAAAAAAAAATATTCTGTCCGTGAAAATTTTTTATTTATAATGAATTGATTAACTAATTATATCTACACACACGCACTCACTTTATTCGTGTAAGAGCGAAAATAAAGAGATAAATTTAGCCGTTTTTTTTAAAAGCATTTAAAAACATCCACATTCATACTGTTGTTTATTATTAATCATTAATTATAAATTAATAATTAATAATAAATTGGAAATATAATAATATTTTATAGTGTAATAAATAATAATTATTAATAATATTTAAATAAAAATTATTTTCGACTCTGCAGTGCATTTGCCAGCCAGTCCATGGCCTGGTCCAGACCCTCGCCTTTTTTGGCTGATGTTTTGAATATTTGAAATGTACGATTTTTTAATGCGTCTAATCCTAGTGCCTGGTGGACTTCCGCGACACTCAGACATCCTGGCATGTCCTGTTTATTTGCTAATACTACTAAGATTGCTCCTTGTAATTCGTCTTCCTGATAATTATGAATATTTTTATAAATATTGACATTATTATTTTTGTCATTATTAATTGTAATAAATCAGGTTGATCAGGCCACAAACGCAATGTTGACAATTATTTCACACTTTAAAAAAAATTTTTAAACAAATTTTATGTAATTAAAAGTCTTTGAATTTTATAATCTGTTAATGGAATAGTGTATTATTTATATGTATTGTAATGATATATTTAAGACTTATATGAAAATTTGTATTTTGACACGGTTTATTGAAATAATTTATTCATTTGATGTATGTATTTTTAGATTGCCTGAAGAAGTGGGGATGTCCGACGAAATAAAAAACAAAAAAAAAATAAATAAAAAAAAAGCAATAAAGTGTGGAATAATTGTCAACATTGCGTTTGTGGTCTGATCAACCTGATTTATTACAATTATAAATTCCTTTGGATTTGTTATTATTATTATTTATAAAAAAATTTATAGTTACCCGGAGCATGTAAAGCAGTTCATCTTTGGATATTCCTATTCTATCTCTATCTGCTGAGTCTACGACGTATATTACTGCGTCTGTGTTTGAATAATAACATCTCCAGTAAGGTCTAAAATAAAATATTCAATTAGTTTTCAAAATCAATAAATATTTCTATCTATCTATGACCAGTCAAAAAGTTTCATCTCTTCAGGGAGAAATTTTGTCTTATGAAAAATTATATGCAATTTGTTAGAAGTGAATTTCAAAAAACTGTCGCTTATAGCAATAATTCTGTCTACTATTAATTTTATTAAGGACGTTCATGCGTAAAACTTGATAATAAATATAAATTTTTCTTTTTTAAAAAAATATTTAATTTATTTAAAAAAGTAATTTTCTGCCCTCCGGCCGGAAAGTGGCAACTTTCTGGCCGCTGCGCTAAACAAAGTTGCCACATTCCGGCTACGTCGAGCAGAAAAATAGTATACACACCTTGGCCAGTAAAAAGTAAAGCCTCAGATCACATGTTTGTCAACCTCGGCTTCGCCTCGGCCAACAATTACATGTGATCTGAGACTTTTCTTATTTTAATGGCCTAGGTATGCAATATACTATAGCGACTAACAGTTAGATTTTTCAAATGAAAACTTATAGCAGATCAGCATTGTTTTGAATTTAAAATCATAATATTTATATTATTAGAATACACGGTGAGAAATTTCTGTAGAAATTTACTATGCATACATAATAAGACTGAACCTTAATGACTCAATTCAAAATATTACCATAAAAATTTAAGAATATCATATTGTACCAATCAATATTTACTAGGGACCATAGTAAATTTGACCATGTAACTGTTACATAAACATATATAAAAAATTTTCGTAAACTGACTAAACAAAAACTGTGAGTGTGCTTAAAACTTTTCATTATAGTTCCATAGTAAAATTTCTGTTGCTCAGTCGACAATAAAAATTTATAAAAAAATTTGACATTTAGTCACGTGTACTCGGTTTAAATTTAAAATTGTGGCTATGAAATTTTCAAATGTCCCATAGTAAACGTATGCGCGTCAGTCGCGACGCGCGCTCTTTCATTTTTTCGTGCTGCTTTGTTGTAAGATTCCTAAATAATAAAATATATAATAATTTACCGTGAAAAATTAAGATGAAAACAAACATTCGATGGTTAACCTGCAACCGACACTTTTCTAATAATATATTATTATTATTATTATTATTATAATAAAAAATAATTCAAAAGTTATATATTGTGTTTATAATTATTTATAATAAAATTAACTGCCAAAATAAATCCTACGTTCAAATTAAAAATAAAAAACAAATAAAAAAAACTATATTTTAAAAAAATATTTTTAAAAATTATTACAAACAAAAAAAAAAATCTTGTTTGGTTTGATATTTTTTTTGATTGCTAAAAATATTTTTTACTCTAAAATTTTTTATTTTTCACAAACATTTTCTTATTTTTTTGCTATAGTACATTCGGAAATTTAAATTATTGCATATTTCATTTCACTATGGTACATTTTAATTTCTACCGTTTGCTATGTCTGATTTCAAAACAAATTCGGAAATTACTATGGACCATTGTAAAATTTTATTCTGAGTCAATAAGATTCACTAGTAATATGCACCATTGTAAAATTAAAAATCCATGCAGAATAAAAAATAATAGAAATTTCTCACCGTGAAGAAATTATTCTCAATTCAAGAATTTTTCCTCTTGACACAAGAAAATTATTTTCTTCAAAATGGTATTCTTGATTCAAGATTTTTTCTTTTGAATCAAGTTAAATTTTTTATCAGTGTTGTTTTATATGAAAGACAATAATGATAGGAATAAACACTGACATTGTTCGGATCATTTAATTTTACGTACAACGTTCTATATCGATACGTTATAAACTGTCATTTTTAATGATTTAATGAACTTGATAATGTTACGATTATTTCATAATTTTTTTTTCATAAAAAAAAATTATTTTTTGGAATTTTAAAAATGCTGATAAAATATTTGATTATATCCCTTAATATATTCAAATATTTTATCAGCATTTTTAAATTCCAAATATTTACTTTTTAAGTTATGCAGCTAATTCATTATTCATGGATTTTTGTAATAATTTAATTACAAACGAAGTTATTACAATATTTTTACTTTAAATGATGCGCGTGACTGACCAATGTGCTTCTAAAATACAGTGGTAATGGTTTTGTGGCTCCACCTACTGTCGTATATTGGAATTCTAAACTAAAGACCAACTACTTATGGGCGCTAAGTTCAGTATTTAGTATACTAGCTATTTAGATGGTAGAATAACAGAGTTAAGTAGTGCCAACTTCGAAATAATAAAATTCGCTCTAAATTTGTAAAATCTCTCGTAGAATTGAAAACAGGCGCAAGTAAAAATTTTCAAACTCGCGATTAGTTAAATAATTGTTAAGACCCAACATTTTTTTGTAATATATGTATAATTGGTAAAAAGAAACTTATTAACAATGGTGTAAAGTGTTAGTGTCTTAGTAATAATAAAAAATATAGAGCTAAATATGTAAAGAGGTTATGTTGACATATGATTAGAGAATAAAGACACGTTGTCTCACGCCATATGTTGGACGTGTACTTGGCGCGAGACACTATCGTGTCTTCGGATAATGTTTGAAAAAATTATCTGATTCATGTAATTTATATAAATGCATCGAAAACATAGCGTTGACGAACGTTAAAATTAATTATTCATTATTTTACTTAGTATAATTAAAATTATTTTTGTTCATTTTTCACCGTACTGAAAACAAGCACCTGAATACAGCTGATTAGATGGATAGAAATGACAGATTTGTCAAATTTAATGAACAATAAAGAGGGAAGTCATATCAACGACTTATTTATATTTACTGATTTTTTGAAATAGATGTCTAAAAAATATTTCAGGAAAATAAAAAAAAATATAAATTAGTATAATATTATTGATATACTTTAGGAGCCAGTTTTTCAATCCAAGATAAAATTGTATCCAGGATAAAATTATTATTGCCAGTATATTTATAAATATGAAATATAGAGATATATTTTATCATTGGATAAAATTTTATCCTGGATTGAAAAACTAGCCCTAAGAATTTTCTCAAGATACCAATAATAAATTTTATAAAAAGTTAGTACTTATTTTACTCTAGTGTAGAGCATAAACGTCCTTAAAATTCAACAAAGTTGAAAAAATAATTATGGACGATAAAATAAATTTATGAACAAATATTAGATAAATAAGTTTTTTTTTGTGGAAATTATAATATTAGAGAAATTAAAACTATCATGATTAATTAATTCAAGATAAATTTAATTGATTGTTCCGGTGAAGAATATTTTTAATTTTCGTAGAAGAAAAAAAAATTAATTTTCATACCAATAATTTTTTAGTCTATTTAGATTTTATATTATATAATAAATGTGGAGAAAATTAAAAATAAAAGCAAAAATTTACGTTTACATTTTTTACATGCTTAAAAGTTGGAATGATTTATTAGCAAAATTGTGGATTAACATGATGAATTATGAGTCTGAGATTAATGCAATGACTGAATGTTAAAATAAATTTAGAATTATATGGATAACATCTTGGAAATAAATTATATTGGATTTAAATAAGAATAATTTTATATATGTATCTATTTTTATAAGAAAAATTTTTTAGTTTTTTTTCTAGTGATAATTATATTTTTATTTAAAAAAAATAATTGGTGTCTTAGCAATTCCAATAAATTATTATCAACTAGAATGAAAAATTCTTGAAATTTATTGAATATTGGATAAAAAATTTTGATTTAAGACCATAAAATTTAATGAAGAAATATTAGATCAGGAATAATTAAAAAAAATTACCGTATGCTAGTTTGACCGCCAAGATCCCATACTTGGAATTTAAGATTTTTATAAGTTACTTGTTCAACATTAAATCCAATTGTTGGTATTGTTGTTACCACCTCACCAACTTGGAGTCTGAAAATATAATTAATAAAAATTGTAAATAATATGACAAAAAATATTTATCTAATTTTCTCATTTTTTTTTAATGACCTTTTAGTTAAAAAATTTCTGAAAATTTGATATTTATGTTGGTTTTAAAAAAGTAAGATGTGAAAACTTATTTCCGGAGAAATAAATTATTCTGTACTAGAAAATAATTATTATTAAAAAACAAAATCAGCAAGCAAATCGGCAATTCGTACTTTTACAAATACTAATTAAAAAAAATCTTTATTCAAAAGATTTATTCTCACATGCAGGAATGTATCTCTTTTATTAAAAAACTCTTTTAAAAAGATCAACCATTTTTTGATAAAAATAACTTTTATTCAATTAATTTAATTTTATGGTATTAAATTCTTTTAAATAAATTACGTATGATTATTGTATTTTTAGCTACAGGGACTAGATATCAATAGTTGAATCTGCAATTCTGAAATTATACATTAGTTTATTGATACAAATTTTTTTTATAATATATAACGACGGTCTAATTAGCAATTTGTCTAACTCCTTATTTTTTAGAGGGTGATTTTTTAACATTTTTATGTAGCAATAATCCAATTATAAATTATTTGAATGATTCAAACCTAAATATTATATTTCTATTAGATATTAATTATATTAAATATTTTTTTAAAGTGATGATAAATTTTGAACTAATTATTTTTTTCGTACAAATAGAAGATTCTCTAAAATGGAGTTAGACAATTTGCTAATTAGAATATTAATAAAGTATTTTTAAATTTTAATACGAGAGTCATATCGGTTTTTTAGAACAATATATTTTTTAATTTTAAAATACTTGATTTTTAATTAAAAAATTTTTCATTCCCAAATGCAAATTTACTATTTGATACAAGAAGAGACAAATCAGGATTTTTAAAAACTTTTTCAAACAAATTTTGAAAATCAGACATTATCTTCATAAAAATAAACGCGAGTGCTAAATTCAACGAAAATCGACTTTAAAAATGATAAAAGTATAAAATTATACCAAAAAATTAGAGAAACATTTAATTCACTGGTACTGTTTCAACTTCACAAACTCAAAGTCCAAAAAATAAAATAATAAATAATTAGTTTGTTCTGATTGAATTCAACGGACAAAGGCGGAGGCTGTGTTGAATAAAAATCTTCGAAAAATAGTCCCAAAGTCTAAGACCAAACTCCTAGCGCTTGAATTTAAATAATTATTTTTTGCTGTCAGATATTTGATATCCACTTGCATCTTACTGATTGCATTCAGAGATTGTAAAAAATTATCAATCGCGTTTGAAATAATAAGATTCAATCATGAGGTAAATAACTTTGCGGTTATTTTAGAAATTTTTCATTTAATAAAGTCTTGTCTAGACCTCTTCTATTATTTGTAAAAGTTTAGAATAATATTTAAATAAAAAAAATATTATTCTATAGCAAATTGAATTAGGTCATTAAATAATTGTGATTGTAATAAGTACCTGTAGAGTATTGTCGTTTTACCAGCACCATCAAGACCTAGTATAAGAATTCTCATTTCACGACTGCCGAGTAAATTACGAAAATAACTGAATAATCCACCTGTAAATATTTACCAAATAAATTTATAGTTGCATGACTAACCATAAAAAATATTTCATTTTTTTATTTAATTATTGATAAAGAACTTTTAGACGTAACTATTTTAAATAATAATATTGATAGTGATCTAATTGAAAACTTACCCATGATATTGTGATATCATAAAAAATAATGTAGTTTTTAATTAAAGAGAAATAATAATAAAATTTGACGGTTATCAATTGCTGGTGATGACTGAGCCCATAGAGAAGTTGATAAAACTGTAACAATTCATTTTTATTAGTAACTGTATATTGTATGTTTAATTAATTTTTTTAAATTCAATTTATATTTGGTTGTACAGTGAAGATTAATTGTTTACTTAGTAATTTTATTAGTTCAGTGCGTTTGTGTATATTATTTATTATTTATTGCGGCGAGATGTCAAATAGTACGAAGGAGACACCGACTTGACTGCCATGCTGGCTGTTGTGAAAGCGCAGCTGCGCGCGCCATTTTTTTAAATTCAACGCCATCTGTAAGTATTTAAATTTAAAAATCCGAGACTGAATTATTTTTTAACTTTTAATAAAAAATATATATTTTTTTATAATTTGTTTATTTCATAATTATTTTCTAAATTGCTTTTTTAATTACTCATTTTTGCACGACTATATAACTTTTAATTCTAAATTTTGAACTGATATTTTTTTTTTCCATGCAATTATTATTAATGATTAAGACGTTAAATTAGAAACAAGGAAAATTGATGAAATAATACAAAAATGAATTTGTTTTTAGACAAATAGTGAAGTTTCTCTTAGAAAATACGCCGGTGGTATCAGTGGAGCTGCTGGTGACGCTGCATTATTTGTCGCTAATCACGCATACAATTTATCAACTAAATCAACAATTAAATTTATCGATAATTGTTAATCTTCAAGATATATTATCACAAATAAAAGTATAAAGTTATTGACGTGAAAGGCGAGTCGAAAATTATAGAAGAATAAATATGTTCGTAATGCAAATAAATAAATTAAATAAATCAAATATATATTTATTGACAATTAATTTTTTAATCACAACGCAAAAAGTTACCAATTAAAAAAAATCATATATAGTTATTATATTTTTTTAATGTAAATTAAACAATATTAATTAATTTATATTGACTTCTTTTTTTTCAGTCATACACATTTTTTGTGATTTATTTTGTAATATTGAAATATCCAAAGACTTTATTTAAGTATTTAATCAGGATATCTGAATAAATAAATAAATAGATTAATAGATAAAAGTATGTTTATTGACTAAGTATGTAATCGAATGCTATTAGTTGATGTGTTATTTATTAGAAGTAACATTAAACGATTATACATTAATATGTACCCTAATGGGTGCTTTTTTTTTCAACTATTTTTTTTTTCGGTCTCATTGTGAAATTTTGTTGCAAGTATCCAAGAAAAAATACCCTGAAAGTTTGGGCCCTTAATATTATAATATTAAGACCTCGATCCAGGTGTTTAAAGATTTCCCCTTAAAAAAACACAGAAACTGATTTTTTTATGTTTAAATTTCTATAGCTCAGTGGCATTTCATAGCATCGCTTTGACCATGGACGGATTTTTTTCAGAATTGAATGGTCTACAAAAGTGTCCATTGCGGCCAAGCCATAACTCGAACCGGCGAGGTATAGTACAGGCCTCTAAACTTGATTTTTCCATGAAATTCGCATTTATCTCGTGAATGACAAGAGCTACAGAAAAAATGTGAACGACAAACTTGCAGAAAATTCAATTTCCTATAAAAAAGATCTGAAGCACCAAGTCGCTAAAATCAATATTTTCGGAGATATTTAATGATCAATTTTTAGTAATTTCAAATGTTTATCGAAAATTGCGTCAAATTATGAAAAATATCTTTTAAAAATATTATTAAATATCTCCGAAAATATTGATTGTAGCGACTTGGTGCTCAGGACCTTTTTTGTAGGAAATTGAATTTTCTACAAGTTGGTCGTTCACATTTTTTCTATAGCTCTTGTCATTCACGAGATAAATGGGAATTTCATGGAAAAATCAAGTTTAGAGGCCTGTACTATACCTCGCCGGTTCGAGTTATGGCTTGGCCGCAATGGACACTTTTGTAGAGCATTCAATTCTGAAAAAAACCCGTCCATGGTCAAAGCGATGCTATGAAATGCCACTGAGCTATAGAAATTTAAACATAAAAAAATCAGTTTCTGTGTTTTTTTAAGGGGAAATCTTTAAACGCCTGGGTCGAGGTCTTAATATTAATATTAAGGGCCCAAACTTTCAGGGTATTTTTTCTTGGGTACTTGCAACAAAATTTCACAATGAGACCGAAAAAAAAAAATAGTTGAAAAAAAAAGCACCCTAATACATATACATCATTACTTATGACTATATTAATTGGTGTTTGAAAATATATATTTAAAATTAATCATGTGAGTTTGAAACAAAATTGTAATGGTTTTATTGCGTTAATTATTGTAAACGATTAACAAATAAAATGTTAATTTTTAATGCTGGTACGAATAACTTTAAAAATTGCGATTCCTTTACCTAATAATATAATTATCAAAAACGAAAAAATAGTTCACATCTATAGATAAGGCTGATAAACGACTTGAAGTGATAATAAAATTATCCCAGTTAGCACAGGTTGACCATCAACTAGTTGATGTTCAATAGTTTTACGTCAACTTTATGTTAACTTCGCGTCAACCTCTGCATTTGTAACAGTTTCCCAGAACTTGACTTTAACTTACACATCAAGTTAGCGTAAATCTATTGCCGGAATTTTCCGAAACGTTCGCTCAAAGTTAACGCAAAGTTGCAGAAAGTTAACATTAACTTCACGTCAACTGTTGTAAGTATAACTGTTGCTCTACTGTTAGCGTAAACTTTACGTCAAATTCCGGCCGCAGGTTTACGTGAACTTCGTTTCGCTTGTGCTAACTGGGTAGCTACCATGCTCTGACGATGATCGCTCACCTATATAATCGTTTTATAACAGAACGAATTGTAATTTTAATTTGACATTTTTATAACAAATTTTTGAATAGTTTCTCAAACAATTTTTATAATAAAAAAACTTGATTTTTTGAATCGTCTAAATCCTTATTAATTAATCTACTTATACAATGACTCATTATAGTTTTGATCAAATCCAACCACAAATCTGTTCTATATGATTAAAAGAACATTTTTTTTCGTAATTGCGGACATTTATTCCAGTTTCCTAAAATGTTAAGGAATATTATATAATATAAACATTTTGTAAAATCCTCTTGTACTGTCTACAAATGTTGAAAATAAATTTTGTTACTTTGACTATTGAGTGTTCATTTTTTTTTCAACAATATCGACTATAATTTCGAGTTTGTGTGGTAACAATCTAAGTAATCAAACTAATTGCAAGTAACAATAGCCTTTAAATTTTTATCACCCGAGTTTCAAAAAATAGATTTCTAACAACACCAACAAAATAAGTTTAACAATTTTATTATCAGTGTCTTCAAGTTGTTTGTTAACCATGAATTCAAACTATTTTTTCGTTTTTGTAGCGCTATTTTCCATGAATTTTCTTGATTTTTCCGAAGCTTGTGGCCATTATTTCTGTAAAACTTACACGTACAAGCCATGCATAGAACGCTATAAATTCTTGTCGAGACTTCCGAACTCGCAAAAATTGAACACCCTGGTATTGATCGGCACTAACTCATCTCTATTCTACGACGAATCTGCAAAAGAATTACAAATCCAGGATTTGACGATTGTGCAGCAATTAAAGTATGGAGTCCGCGTCCTGGATATCGGTCTTCGTTTGCTACCAAATATGCTAGATACGCACAGTGATAGCAGACTAGCAAGTGGTTATTTCTTCGACCTCTTGATAGCCACCAATGATTTTCTGGATTTAAATCCTGGCGAGTTAATAATTATGTTGGTACGGCATATCGAAATTGAACCTCCGAAAAAGGATGTGACAAGAAGTGGTTGTAAAATTTTGGACTTTTACATCCGTCATGTTGAAGGCGGATCGCGATTAGTCAAAAATTGGAGGCTTAATGACACAATTGGACAGCATCGAGGAAGAATATTGATTGGGAGATTGGATTATCTATTTAAGGGATGTGTTGTTGATTTGAGTGATAAATGCAAGCCTGCAACCTCGACTCAATTAGTTGATAGACAGCATGATTCTAGTATCGATCGTAAATGGAACCTAATTTCAAAAATTATCTTAGATAGTTTTCTGAATAAACACGAGTGTCTTATCAATGATTTAAGCTATTATGACGGTAAAAATACTCGTCGAGCTATCGCTAAAGATGCCGGTTTATATCATCATTTTTCTTGTGATAGACCTATAAATGATTTAGTAGCAAATGAGTTTTTATGTCCCAACGAAGGTTTGAATATCGTCGTTTCTGATTATATGACGCAAGAATTAGGCGATAAAGTTAATGATTGCAATTTTTTAAATTCATCATGGCGGATCGGCTGGGAATAAAATCAATCAAAGAAACTGTTATAGTTTTTATAATTTCATGGAAACTGATTGTTAACAATCTAGTAATTTTATTTTATTTATTTAAAAAAATTGAAATTTATTTTTTAAAAAGTTAAAAATTTTTATTTTAAAAAATCAGCTGATATTTTTATGCTTGACAATCATTCAATTTTTCATTAAATTTTATAAACTTTAAAAATTATAAAATAATCTTAGACAAAATTTAAAAAAAATTTTCGCCTCCATAAAAAAGATCTTTCTAAATTTTCTTACAAAATTAATAATTTTAACAAACCTTCAATTTCAAAGTTCAAATAATTTTTCGGTAATTTTACTTCATATATTTTGTTTTAATTGTAATAACTCCTAAATTACTAAAGTTGAAAAAAAATTCTCAACAAAATTCAACCTTTTCCATTTTAATCCTTTTATTTTTTTTAATTATTCAAATAAAAATTCTTTTAATTTAAAAATTAATTAAAAGTTTTAAATTGTAATTTTAATAGTCAAAAATATTTTATTAATTTAAAATAAGAAACTTCAGGTAAGTATAAAATTTTTACAGGAATTAAAAATTAAGTTAATTTAATTTAATAAAAATTAAAGTATTTTGTAAATATTTATGTTTATTAATAAACTTACTCAAATATTAAATTGAAAATACAAAACATATTTATAAAGTATTAGTTATCTTACGGTGGCGCATTTGATCGAGCCACTCTTCCAACAATGTTTCTTTAGTCTGAGGTTCGGGTAAATAATAATTTTTTGGAGGCTTTCCTTCCTCCAATTTAACAAAATAATGAACATGTCTGTAATCAACGCGACCCATACGCGCGCGAGCATGTCTTCTTATTCCTTTGACAGTCACTCCTTTTCCAACAAATGACTCGGCTAAAACGAAAAATCATTTTTATTACTTACCAGAATTTGAGGAAATTTAATTATAAAAAAAAATATCCTTATAAGCGAATTAATAAGAGCAATGGTCACAAAGTATTTTCTAAGTAAAACTAAAAAAAATGTAGCTAATTTATATTATTAAGCGAATAAGCAAAATTTTGTGGCCAGTTTTTATATGATGAAATAAGAAATGACCTTGTATCTTGTGAACTGTTGACATTTTTAAAGATATAAGCTCATACTGATGTAACATTCATCAAGACCTTTCATTTGAATACCCACATCAACTTTATATATTTTTCATATAACCTGCATTAAAAATGCGAGTTTCAATGCCTGTTGAGCCAACCGAAACTAGACAATTTCAGACCAATGCGACTGTTGCTGGGCAGAAATCAATCATTTCTTCCCGGCGGACAGAAAATGACGGTTTTCTGCCCGCAAGATGAAGTTGCAGCTTTATTTTCAATCCTATCAATTGTTTGTTTATTTTATACCTTTATAATTGTCATTCTAACCGTTAACTGTACTGACATATTATAATTCTGTTACTAAGCATAAATAAGAATGACAAAAGAAAACTATTCAATTTGCGAATAATGTGTAATAAAAAATAAACTATTACTTTCTATTTTATTATAAGATTTATAATAAAATGGTATTTTTGCTATTTATCTGAAACTATCTAGTTCTGGTTGGCTCTAGACATTGAAACTAGAATTTTTAATGCAACTTATATGAAAAATATAATATGTGACGCGGGATGAAACACGATTTCAGACCGAGTGATGCCAGCCCTCGCTTCGCTCGGGCAGGCAACCAGTCTGGTCTGAAATCGTTTTGTTTCATCCCTAGTCACACAATATACTATTATATATTTATATATATTATATATATGTATATATGAAAAGTATATAAAGAATGCATGTGGGTACTCAAATGAAAGCTCTTGATGAGTATAACATTAAAATGAGTTAATATCTTAAAAAATGTCAATGATTAAAAAATGACCTTGTATCTTGTGAACTATTGACATTTTTAAAGATATAAGCTCATATTGATGTTACACTCATTAAGACCTTCCATTTGAATACCCACATAAATTTTTCAAATATTTCATATATTATACATATGTATGTATATATGAAAAATTGATGTGGGTACTCAAATGAAAGCTTTTGATGAGTGTAACATCAATACGAGATATCTTTAAAAATATCATTATTTAAGAAAGTACAGTGCAATTCAACAAAAGTAATTATTTAATAAAGCAAAATTTTAGTCATTTATAGTTCAAAAGTCACATAGTGTCTGTAAGATTATAGGTTTTATTGTTATTTAAAATAATTATAAAACTACTTACAAACCCACAAATTGCTCTTGAATTCAACATTATGTTTCTCAACAGCAAGTTGCTGAGCTTCTATCAAAGTTTCCTTAGCAGCGACAGCTCCTTTTTTACAGAGGAAACTTAATTGCCGAATGGCCTCATCTATTGACATTCCTCTGACCAGACATGCGATATACCACATTGTTTTCGGACTATATTTAATATTTTTTTTTACATGACATACATACTGCAATGTAAATAAAAACAATAATTATAAGATTTTATTCAAAAAAATTAAATAAAATAAAAATGATACAAAAATTAACCAATAATTTTAATTGCAAGTATAAAGTATACTTAAAAAAAATTGCATGCATAATTTTTTAAATTTTCTGCAAGTGAAATTTTTTTTTTAATTTTTTTAATAAAAAAAACTACAAAAATTTTTAAATGTCGGCTAATTTTTATGAAAATTAATTAAAAAATTTTGGTCATTTGTTTTATTGAAAAATAATTTTTAAAAAATAAAAAAAAAAATTTCACATGTAGAAAATTTTAAAAACTATCCGTGGAATTTTTTAAAAATAGTTTTTTAGTTCTAATTTTTAATTGAAAAAAAAAAAAATCAAAAATTTTTGAATTTTCAGTTAGCCGACATTTAAAAATTTTTAGAACTTTTTTTTATTGAAGAAATCATTACAAAAAAATTCATTTGTAAAAAATTAAAAAAACTACACATGCAATTTTTTAAAAATATTTTTTAGTTGTAATTTAATAAATGAAAGAAACAAAAACAAATTAAATACGTCGACTAACTTTAATGAAAGTAAAATTTGCCTACAGTAAAAAATTTTCATTTTTTTTTTATTAATTGAATTAGGCAACAAAAAAAATATTTTTAAAAAATTGCACGTATAATTTTTCAAATTTTTTACATGTGGAATTTTTTCTTTTAATTTTTTTGTTATGATTTTAATGAAAATAAAATTAGCAGAATTTTTTCAGAATTTTTTTTAATAAAATCATAAGAAAATAAAGTTAGCAGATATTTAAAAATTTTTATAATTTCTTTTACTTAAAAAAAATTGTTTCATTCGTTAAAAACGTCATAAACGATAAGTGCAATTTTTTATAAATATTTTTTAGTTATAAATTAATAAATTAAGCAAAATAAAAAATTAAAAATGTCGGCTAACTTAATTTTCATTAATTTTTATAAATAGAAACTTACAGCGGGACGTCGTGGTTCTCCAGGTTTTTGAGGTGGCAAAACAATCTCATTGTACTTGAGCCACTTCCTAGGTCCATCTTTATCAGTCTCATTGTCCTCAAGTGAATACAATTTATTAATTGGCGAGCTATGAATTGCCGCTGGGAGTAATTTTGTTTGTAATTTTAAGTTAAATTCCGTCCTCAGTAACTTTGACAAGCAATTTCTTAAATTTTGCATTTTTTTACTCCTAAAAAATTAATATTTTATTTAAATATCACTCTAAATATAATAATAAAGTTAGCCGACATTTTTATCTTTTTAATTTTGCTTAATTTATTATATTATAACTAAAAAATATATTTAAAAAATTCCACTTAAAGTTTTTAACAAATGAAAAAATTTTTTTTTTATTTTTTTTAATAATTCTTTAATAAAAAAAATCATAAAATTTTTTACACGTCGGCTAACTTAATTTTCATCTCAATATCAATTTTAAATTATTGTTATAATTAATATAATTTTGAATGTTTATTTATTAATTAAAGTACTCACTTTTACTTTTTATTATTTATTTACTAAGTATTATTTACTAAGTAATTTTATGGTTAGTTTCCCGGAGAAATAATAATAATATTATTTATAGATGGCGCGTCAGTTTTGCGCATGCGCGTAGCTACTGCGCATGCGTTGAGCTTCTGCGCATGCGCACAGTTTCTGCACATGCTCAGAGTCATTCCGCAGTCCGCCGGCTAATTTAATGTTTTCGGAGCGTTATATTTGTAAACATAAACCTAACCTTTAATAAAATAAAAGTAAAAACATTGTTAATTAAAAAAAGTATTGATTAAAAATTAATAGCGATGAATATCAACAATAATAACAAAGTCGATGAATTAATTGGCTATTTTAAAAGCCATAATAAAATAAAGGAACACTTAAGTCACTCGGCGAAGGTCCACAGTGTTGGTTGGAGCTGCGACGGAAAATACCTAGCATCAGGGTCGTTTGATAAATGTATCTGTATTTTTACTCTTTCTCCTGACAGATTGGTAATTTGTTTTTTAATTAAAAAAATCTTTTTCATTTAAAAAAAAAAAATAGATAATTATAATTTTTTTTAACTTTTTAAATATTGAATTTTTTTTTTTAAATACAAAATTTTTTAGTAAATATTTTTTTTTTTTAGGTTTATATCAAAATAAAAATTTTTTAAATAATTAAGTCAATTTTTATTGATACTAAAGTTAGCCGACGTTTTTAATTTTTTGATTTTTTTTTTAATTAAATTAGAACAAAAAAATATTTTTAAAAAATTGCATTTACAGTTTTTAAAGTTTTTTACAAATGAAAATTTTTTTTCTTTATTTTTTATAGTCATTTTTTCAATAAAAAAAAAATTAAAAAATTTTTAAATGTCGGCTAACTTAATTTTTATAATTGAAAAAAAAATTTTTTTTTTTAATTTGTAAAAATATAAAAAATTATAGATGTCAGATTTCAATGAAAATAAAGTTAGCCGACATTTGAAAATTTATAGAAATTTTTTATTGAAGTAATTTTAATTAAACAATTAAAAAAAATTTTCACATGTAAAAAACTATAAGTGAAATTTTTTCAAAATATTTTTTAGTTATAAATTAATAAATTAAGTAAAATAAAAAAATTAAAAATGTCGGCTAACTTTATTATTATATAAATTAAAGATTTTACTATTTTAAAATTAACTTAGCATATATTTGATAATCAAAAAAATTTTTTCAACAAATTATGTAGAAATTTTAAAAAATTAAAAATCCAACTTTTTAATAATTTTTTGGAGCAAATTTATTTGTTAAAAAAAGTCAAGTGACTACTACACGGAAAAAAGTAAACTGTAATAAATAACATTCGATTTAAAATAAGTTATTATCAACTGCTAAAAATTACCATTCCAAACAGTAAAATCGAGATTTTAATATTCACTTTATAATATTTACCATTTAAATCTCGTACTTAAAAAATGATCTTATGATATGTAAAAAGTATAAAATAAAGTTACTAAACTTCTAATACAATCAAAGTCAATATTTACTAAGTAAAATGATAAATTTTAAACGCAACGCTAAAAATCAAACTGTAATTATTGACTTGCTTGGACTGGTAAAATGTATATTTTAAAAGTATAATTTTTACTGTTTGAAATGTTAAATTCTCCCAGAGTGAGACCCCCTTCTCTTTCATCTGAGTTCCCCTTCTCCTCATAATAT